GCTTTTGTTATATATATATATATATATATATATATATATATACATATACATATATCTCCCTTTCTTGCTGAAGCGTTAGATGAAGGTATGCCTAAAACTTTTCTTATTTTTCCACCTCTTCTAGTTGAAGTTTCTGGAGACACAAATTTCATTCCTTTTTCTTATTCATTCATTTATTCACTCATCCCACTCATATTTAATGAATACTTTTTGTGTCAAGGCCCATTGCTAAGCAGTTTTGATGTATTATTTTATTTTCCTGTGAAGATAATTTAAGAGTTAATTATTATTATCCCCACTTTCAAAGGACAAAAGGGATGCTTAGAGAGGTTAAGTTCTTTCCCCAAGTTAATATTAAGCATTCATTTACTCATCCATCCACTTACTCATTTCTGCTAAGTATTATGCTAAATACTGGAGATACAGCAGTGACCAAGCCTCACACAGAGCCTGGTCTCATAGAGCTCTGGGTGAACACAGACATGTAAGTGGTTACCAGGAAGTACAATAATTAAGATTATGATAAGGAAATTTCTGTCTCTCCATTTCTTATCTCCCTTTCTCTTCTCTGGTAAATTAGAACTCTGGGCTCACTTTCTCACCTAAATAATGGAGGGATTGGATTAGATGCTGTCTCAGATCTCTTTTCTTTCAGTAACTGCTACTGTCTTATATCTACCATCTTATATTTTGTGTCTATCTATACATTTAACTATATCTACTTCCTTATTTAGTCTCACTTGTGATACTTAATACCCTTTTAAAACCCAATTATTTTCTCCTTTAAATTGTTTATTGATAATATGTGTTTTTGCTAATGGAAGGCATACTGATTAAAGGACAAATTCAGAATTTTTGTTATGAGTCATGGATTTTGATGTTCATTATCTGGGATCACATATGTCCCAGTGGATGCTGGACACAGTATATCCTGCCTATGAGTCAATGATAAAATCATTTTTTTTCCTTGAATATCTGTAAAACATGAGGTAAATAAAACATAAGAAACCTGGCAATGACTCCACACACATTTTATTCTAGTCTCCTTCATCTTAGCCTTTTTAGTATTTTTCACGAAACTTTTCAAAACATAGTACAATGCATTCTTCCTTACTACAAAAGCAGTACTTACAGCCAAAATAAATAAAGCAAAGGGACTTTTTTTTAAAGTCAGGAAAATTACCACTACAATGCATTTTTCATTACTGCAAAAGCAGTACTGACAGGCCAAATAAATAAAACTAAAAGAATTTGAATCTCAGGAAAATTACCACTACTATGTATTCTTCATTATCACAAAAGCAGCACTAACAGCTAAGAATCAGAAAAAGCTGCCCTGGAATACTGCAGAACTGCTCACAGCAGTGCATTCTACTTGCTACACATGGAAGCAATGATTGTGCTTTAAGATTAAATGTGTGATAAGAATAACTTATAGGAATTCAAGTCTCTTGAAAAGTACCACTGCAATGCATTATTCCTTACTGCAAAGGCATTATTTACTGTTCAGGAGCTAGAAAAGTAGGGAGCCGTTAATGCCTGGAAACAATGAATGGCATCAAGGAGAAAAAGACCACTATGACTGAATGAAGACTAAGAATAGCTTATTCTTATGATAACTACATTCTCACGAGAACATAGTAACTAGGAAACATAGTGAGGAGGCTTATCTCACAGAAATAAAGGCAAAACTGTCAAAAGTTTAGAAAACTCATACATCCAGGAGGCATCACCTAAGACAATGTTCAATATTTTTACAAAATGAGGTTCCAACTCAGGGTTCTTGAGTTTCACACATTTCAAAAGGCTCCCACCTTGAGGCTAAACACGTTAAAATCGGGCCACCCCTTTCCAAAGAACTCAAGAGGTATAAAAAGTGATTGGGATACTGTATGTCCCAAGGATCTGGAAAGGATTAATTAGACTTGTGAGAAATACAAAAAAAGGCATACACGCTTGAGTAACTGTGACTGACACCCTATGAAAGCACTGATGTTGGCCCATGTTTCTCCTCTCCAACTGTGTGTAATTATCACAAGAACTTCTGTTACATAGAAGGCAACATTGCTCAGTCATTCCAAAAGCAACCTGACAATTTGATTCAAAGTTTCCAAGCACTTTAATAAGAACATCTCTAGGACCTCCTAACTCTTTCGTTTATTTTCTCTTCCATTAGTTACAGAAATACTGAATCAAATGTGTTAATAACTACCTGCAACTCTGTTGCATTCCATGCACCAGGCACTGACAGAAGCAAATACAGCATTTGTTCAGGACACATCATTGCATTTATTTAAATATCCATTACATATACAAATATATATATATACATATTCACATTTCCTTAATAATGCATCTGAGGTGTCAGTCCGAGGGAAGCTAGGTAAGCCATATAGAAAACTGGCTAGAACATGTTTGGCTATTTTAACATGATGGAGGGGTGTGTTTTCCACTGCTATTAAGGAGTAAAGTTGGGCTCATTAAATATTACATCTGAAATGGAAAGTTTTGAAAGACACAGTGACATAACCATCAAATCACAATTTATCCTGATTTGTTCACTTGGAAATATACTTTTGCAATCCATAGAGATTTTTTTCAAGACATTTTTCATAATGTTAATTTGACTAAAACCAAGAGTATGTTGGTGTACTTTGGAGGTTTGTGAGTATTTCTTACCTGAGTGAGTGGAAACTGAAGTTTACTGAAAATATTATTGAGAATTTTTATCTAACTACAATGAAGGCAAATATAAAACTTCAAATAAGGAACTATGAGCTTAGATAGTAAGAATTTCACACATACACACCAAAGTAATTGCTATACTTGATCAAGCCTATCTCACATACTATTGCGCACATAAAGAGCCTGCTGAAGAAGCATGTGTTTTTCCAGTTCATCCTCCAGTCTGCAAGGTTAAAGGATGGTTTAGAAGTCAGTTACATCGCTCCACAATAATCCTAAGAATGAGTGTGTTAGAAAGTGAATGAATGGATGAGTAAATGAATGGTCAACCTCAGCTTCTCTTAATTGTCACTTATGGTTGTCTTATTTCTAATATCCTAATCCTTTCTGTATCAATTTCCACTTCCTATGAGTACCAATTTGGGGAAGTAAAAAATTATATGCATATATTTCCCTCTATTCCAAAGCTTATGTAATGGGGAAAGATAGAACCAGTAAAAATAGGAAACCATCATATTATTAACATGACTGGGGAACACTAAAAGTGGTATTAAAATAGTATGCACTCTGAACAATGAGTCATATCCTTCCATAGTCATCAAATACCACATTGGCTGGCGAAATTATTTATTTCTTGTTTGAGTTTGAAACATATATGAGATTTTGAAGTTTTGAAACTGCCGGGCCCTGTCTAATCACAATTCATAAGGACAGGGTTTGTTTTTGTGAGTATGTGTGCAAACAGTTGTGATGTTTTAAATTATCTTTAATTTAACATACTCAGTCAAGTCTTTGTGAAACACTTTTCAAGTTATCCCTTTTATATATCAGGCATCTAATATCACCAAGTAACTGAGATACATTAAATTCTGGTTTTAACAATCACATAGTAGTTTTGAAATGCTATCTTTCAGCAAGCAGTTTGCTGTTTATTTATTAAATCAATATATACTCTATTCAACAATTTTTTAAATTGTTGTAGTTAAATGAAGTTTACATTTGAAGTTAGTCTCCCATACAAAATTTTATACATACATTGTTATGTGACCCTAATTGCTCACCCCATTCTGCAATAGCACACTACTACTTTCCGTCCCCAATTCCCCATGACCATTCAACCAGTTCCTAACCCTCTCTGCCTTCCCCTCTCACCTCTGGACAGAAGCTGCCCCTTTAGCCTCTTGTATCCAGTTGAGCTAAGAGGCATACTCCTCACTAGTATCAGTTTATGACCCACAGTCCAGTCCAATCCCTGTCTGAAGAGTTGGCCTTGGAAATTTCAACAAATTTTTAAGTGAATCTTATATACCTGCCATCATGCTTGTTTCTAGGAATACTAAGTTGGTGGGTGAGGGGGGCAGTCTGTGCCCTAAAACAGCTGCTACTCTAGTGGGAGAAACAGATAAAGTAGGTTGTGCTGAGAAAGAAGAAATCACTGAGTGTTATTCAGTGCATAAGAGAAATACCAATGTGCCCGTCTTGAAGAACATGTGGTAGTTAGGCAAAGAGATGTGCACATCAGAAAGCAGAGCAGCTCAAACCAAGCATAGAAAGAAGAGAGAGAAAAGCCTTTCCAAAGAGTTGCCCAGACCCCTGTTGGACTGCTGGAGGGGGACAAACTGGAAGTAAGGAAGATAAACTGAGAGTGAGGAAGATAAGGTAGAATGCTGCTGCATTGATCCTGGAGAGGACTGACCAAAAGCTGGCACTGCGACCGTATCAGAGCAATTCAGAAATGAAGATGGACGGGAACATATTAAGGACATGTCTTGGAAACAGATCAGATGTGGCTTATCAAATCAGGGTGGGAATGGAGTCCAGGCTTACTCCACCGAAAAAAAACTAGGCAGTAGCACTTTTCAGTGAGATTGGGACTAGGGTAGAAGTGTCATTGCATTCAAAACCAATCATAGACTTTTGAAAGAGATTTTCACACATACTATATTTTCCAGATAAGAAGAACTATTATTTGTTTCAGTCAGTTAGGAAAATTGGTAACTAATTTAATTTACTCAAGTTTTGAGAGATAAGTTGAATTCTATTTGTGAGAAATTATATATTTTTAACAGTTTGTTAGTAATAAAATGTTATAAAGGATTTTTAAA